GACCTAAGGTCAGGCAGGCCCACTACCCCTCAACTTCTCCCCAGGAAGACACAGGATCTGATGGGAAGCTTTGAGGTAAAGGTGACAGACACCTAGAGGTTGCAAACTATGGGTGGGACACTCATGCTTGGGTCAGGGCTGGGCACTGGAGACAACTTGACCTCAAATTATCTTAGCCCAAGGCCTCTGAGGCCAGCTGTTCTGAGCATGCAGTTCACAGGTGCTGCAGACAACCCCAAAACGCCTCTTCACCCAACCACGGCCACCAACCCACTCATTCCCAGGCTTCCAGATGCCCATCACCACCACACCCCCCACCCAGGTCTGGCCAACCCCACCCAACACAGGAAGGCCCCTTATCCTACAACTGCCTGAGAGGCTACCCACCTGGACTCAGCTGCACCTGCCAGGACTGCTCTCCTGATACGCAGGCCCAGCCAAGAGCACCAGGACTGCCCAAATCCTTGGGTGGTGAGGGCCTCACTTCCCTGTGAACACTGCCCATGTATTCTGCATTGTGGGGCCCAGCCCACAGGCAGCTCTGAGGTCCTGTCCCTTCTCAATCCCAACACCCCCTCCTCTGAAGTGAAAGAGAAAGGGACGAGGAAGAAACTGCAGATGGGGACTAGTGCTACAGCCCTCCCTCTCTGCCTTGGGCTCAGTGTTCCTCCCTTCCCCACAGTGGGCACAGTAGCCCAAGACACAGCCAGAGTCCATCCAAAAAAGACTGGGATTCTTTATTAAATCAGCAAACTCATATTCCTCAAGCCCCGGACCATAGTGGGCTGCTCTCCCTTTTCTGTCCCCAGCTCCCCAATCCCTTAGCCACAGTGAGGGGAATGGAAAATGAGAAGCCACACGGGCCTCTGCCTGGGAAGGCTGCCCCAGATGTGTGGTGAGCGCAGTCCAGTGGTGGCCAGGGTAGCAGCTGCCACGGGCCCCTCCCTATAAATTAAGTCCCCACAGCCACAGCGGTGGGAGAGGCACATTCGCAGAAGGCAGGCCTATTGGAAGGTAGCATGTCTGACTCCAGCCAAGGAATGGCTGAGGGCACAGAGCTCAGGAGCAGGAGAGGCCAGTGAGAAAGAAGAGAAAGAGTAGAAGGTGGGGGAAGGTCCCCAAATTTTGGTCCCAGGGGAAAAGATGAGGCCAGGTGGTCCAGTTTTGATGGGTGTGGAGAAGGGAATGTCTTAGTAAGCACAGGGGAGAGGCTGCCATCAAGCACCCTAGAGGTTACAGGACAGGCTAGATCCTTCACCCTGGGAAAGAGAGAGCTCGAGAGCCCAGGGGCTCTGAGGGAATGTCACTGCTAAAATATATACACACACACACATATATATTAACCATTCGTGGGAAGGTGGGGCAGGGGTGGGATCAGAGGATCTGGCGTGGCATCCCATAGCCAGTCATGCCCGCCTGAGACGCCCCGCGGTTGGTGCCCATCTGTAACCCAATCACGTTCTTGCCCTCTTGCAGCTGGTTGTCTGAGAAGTTCCGAGGGTTCTCCTTGGATTTCCTGGGTGGGAAGGGAATGCTGATTAGGGGTAAGTTAGAGGCTGCCCAGTAAATCCCGTCCCCACATAGAGCATAGGCTTTGCTGGGGCCCCAAGCCTTGGTGCCAGCTCTGCCCTTGAGCTCCCTGAAGCTGACTCCTTATCTTTCCAAAGGGATAGTCTCTTGCCACCATGGGGAGAGGTGTGAGGACTAAGGGAGACAGGAATGTGAAAGTGCTTTGTAATGGGCTGGCTGCTCCCAAGATGTTAGTTATTTCCTACAGACAGCAATGAGCAGAAGAACAGTGTGCTTGCTGGCCCCAGCAGCTGCCCCAGCAATACTTACTTAGGGAACCAATTGGGATCCCCAGAGAAGAGCCCATCGTCTCGGGCTACTGCCAGCCCACCCAGGTTCATCAGGGTCCGCTGCACACAGGCCATGTTCTTTCCTGGGAAGGAGAAAGGGAATGTATTGGCCACAGCAGGGCTAGGGTCACATCATCCCTCTTTGTCCTCAAGGAGCCAGAAACTGGTTCCTTCTCCCTGGCCAAGATGGCCAGCACAATCTCTGGTCTCCTAGATGACAGGCCCCAGACCCCGGTCCTGGCCAACCTTCCCAGAGGTCCACAGTTTGGAAGATGTCAGTGGTGTTGATGCCGTAGCGCTCAGCTGCTTGTAGGAACTGAGAGATCTGCTCCATCTGTTTGAATGCCATGGTGGAGGCCTGTATCTTCTTTACCGGGGCCTGCCCCTCGGGGTACAGTCCATTAATGAGCTCACACAGTACCTGGGTGAGGACAGCGGATGTGCAGAGGTGAGGATGCACTTAGCCCAGATCAGCATGAGCCACTCCCAGCAGCAGAGACAGAACTAGAAGAGGGGGATCTTCTCCTGCCTGAACACAGCTGGATCCCTTCCCCTAGAGTGAGCCTCAGGGTCCTTGGTCCAGCCCCCTGCCACTGAGCCCAGAGTGAAAGGCCAGTATTCCAGTAATACTGCAGAACCCTCCTTGTGTCACCGAGGCCTCCCACTGCAGGGGAGGCATACTCACCCCTACGCTTCCCTCAGTGGGAAGGGAGGAGAGCTTGGGTCCTTTCCTAGCCTCAGTGAAGACACTCAGGCTTAAGAAGACACTGGAACTGTGTGCCCACATCTTCCCTTCCTCAGGTTAAACCACCCCCAGCCCGCCGGAACTAGTCCTACTCCCCATGCACTTCCAAGCCAGCGGGGGCTCAGCTCTTACCGTGCCATCCTTGAGCCAGTTCTGGAAGTTCTCACGCCCAGGCTGGGGCCGGCCCACATCCTTGCGGCACTGGGTAGTGATCCACTGGATCAGGATCTGCTCCAAGTCAGCATCATACTGTTTCTCAATCTTCTGCTGCACCTCCCGGCTCAGGCCATATGCAGGTCCCCTGTTGGCCATTCTGAAGGGCAGTAGTAGCTGCGAGGAGCTGGGGAGAGACAGGCCCAGACCTTCTGTCAACACCTGCAGCTAGTCCTGTGGGGAATTCTGCCTGTGGGGACCCACATTATACCTCCCATAGTGGGCCCTACGGGTAAGAACCAGAAATGCTGTCCAGTGAGGGAAATTTTGCCTTGATCCCTGGACATGAGCTGAATAGCACTGAATAGAATTCTGGGAGGCTACAGAGGCTGTCTCCAGATTCTCCCATCTCTGTGACAAGCAGTCGGTTTATTATATTGAAGTTCTCCATTAGATTTCATTTGAATAATCAAGTTTTTTTAAAAGTCTGGAATAGAATATGCGGTAAATGAGACCAAGACTGGGGGTTTAGCTCCTCCTTCGGGATGGTCATCTTTAGCAAAGGTAAACTGGTCATTCTAACCATAGCCCTGCTCTTTACAGCCCTGGAAAAGAGGAAGATTTGGGGAGAGGTGGAGGAATATGGAACAGCTTGGGAAACCCATGCCAGGAGCTGGAGGACTGGTCAGATCCACCCTTAATCAACCACTGGGTTTTAATGGGGCACCTACTATCTGTGCTCGGGATTATAGAAGAGATACAAATCCTTGGTCCTAATGTGCCCACAGCGCCATCAGGGAGACAGGGCAAGTACAATGAACGGGTTAAGGACTGCACACCATGAGTACCAGACTGCACAGCTCAGATCACACATTGTAGGAATTAGAAGAAGAGGATGGGCAGAAGCAGCATGAGAAGACTTCCTGGAAGAGGTAGCCCTGAGTAGGCCCTTAACAAATTTCAGCAAGCAAAAGGAATTTCCCATGAGAAACCAGGCAATAAAAACAAATTCTGCTTTCCCTTCTAGGAGTTGTAGTAGGCAGAATAATGGCTTCCCAAAGGAGTCCATTTCCTAATTCCCAGAACCTGTGGATACTTTCATTACCTTACATGGCAAAAAGGGCCTTTTCATGTGATTAAGAGTGTGAGGTGAGGAAGTTATCCCGGATCATCCAGGTGGGCCCAGAGTAATCACAAGGGTCCTTACTAGCTAAAAGGAAGAGGCAGAGGAGTCAGAGTGGGATAAGTGAGGAAGGCAGCAGAGGTCAGAGTCATACAGGGACACAGGCCAAGCAATGCAGGTGGCCTTCAGAAGCCACAAAAGGCAAGGAAATGGATTCTCCCCCTAATGCCCTCAGAAGAAATGCAGCCCTGTCCACACCTAGATTTTAGCCAGGGACGCCCTTGTTGGGATCTCCAGAAATGTACTAGATAATGTGTTGCCTTAAGTCACTAAGTTTGCAATGATTTGTAATAGCAGATATAGGAAACTAATACAGGAGCCTTAAGTTGACCGCAACCAGGATAGCAGCCCACAACGTAAGATGCCAAAGGAAGCAGGCAGAAAGACAGTGGGGTCCCAATTTTGGGGGAATTGGTATTTTTTGGGAAACCTGGGAAGAAAGGGAAAGATGAGGATATACACAGGAGAGTTTCTTTAATTTAGTTTGAGAGCCTGAGTTAGCAAGAACGGGGTGGTTTCCTGACCACTGGCTCGAGTTGGCAGACCTCACTGTGGGCAGTCTGTCCCCACCCACCACCTCACCGCCTAGGTCCCACAGCCAGGGGCCTGCTGAGTAAGTCCCAAGAATGCTACTGACCCCAAAGGGAGCCAAGAACAGAGAAGGGACAGGGCCCCCCACTTCCTGCCCCATCCCCTCCATGGACTGGCTTGTCTCTCTGCCCTGAAACAGTGCCAGCTGTCTGGTTGCTCTCAAAAGTGGGTCCCCAGGATGGATACCTGTGTTTAAGGCGACGAAATGGAGCCACCTCTTTTCCCCACATCTGGCTATAGGCCAGGTGAAAGTTAAGGGACAAAGTGACTCTGGCTTTCTTTCTCCCAGGTTCAATAATCCGACCACCCTCTCAATGGGCCTTGGGGCTCTGTCCAGGTACAAGAGGCCAGGCAGCCTCAAACACTCAAACCTCTCAGCCCCAGAGGCTTTGTGCCTGGGGCCAGTCCCCTCCCCACACTCCAGCATGGCTGCTCCTTTCTACTGTGGCTTATCAAGCTACACATTTCTGGCAGAGATCCTCCCCTAAATCAGTTATTTTTAACCTTCATTAAGAGTGACCCACCCCCACCTCCAGCTTTCCCCAGCCCTGGCCAGACAAATGTCAGTCTGGGTCTGACCCACAGCATCAGCCACCCATACAACCAGCTGGGGGAAGGCAAGCGGGTCAAGTGGCTGAGGCCAGAGGAGAAAGGGAGAGCAGCTTTCCTGCCCTTCCCGCCATTTGGTCTATAAAGCCTACAACCTCTGATGAACAAGGGACGGCTGGAGGCATGGCAGGAAGAAGGGGAAGGGCTGCCATAGCCAATGAGCTCTCTCTGCCCAGCCCAATTTCCAGACCTCTCTTCTGGGAGTGGTTTCACTATGGTCACCTGGGTCTCAGGACTGTGTTTCCAAGGGCCAAGTGGCACAGGGCACTATGGCACAAGTAAAGAAAGGGCAGGAGAATGATTAACTTAAGACCCCAGAGTTCAGAGGGGAGGGGAGTGCCTGATGCCAAGAGCCCCTCAGGGCAGGACAAACTCAGCCTCCCAGACCCTCCTCTGAACAGAAGGTGGATACTAAGTGCCCAGTCCACCCCGCCCCGCCCCACTCTGGGTCCTGGACAGAGCTGGCAGGGTTGCACCTCCAGCTGCAGTGCATCTGCTCCACACTTGGGCCATTACCCTAGAACACTGAGGTGCCAGAGCCACAGGGTGGACCTCTGGGGAGGGGCAGGCCCAGCCTTGTCAGCAGCTGTTTCTCCTTCCCACCCCCATGGTCAGGCAGGAACTGACAGGCAGCAGCTGCTGGAGATTCGAAAGCCCACCCTACTGACACCCAAGGACCTACCCCTGCTCTCCCTCAAAGGAAGGGAGAATAGCAGATTGCCTACCAGGGTGGGCAGAAGAGATATGCCTAGCTGGAAGACAGGCGTGGGAGATGCCCCACAGCTGGGGAACCCAAGGCAAGGCAACAGCTGAACCACTTGGGCGGTAGGTTGGCAGCAAGCAACCTGAACTGGAGCTGACTGCAGCTGTGGGAACAACCCCAACCCCACCCTCGGTGGTGGCCACAGGTGGGAAAGTTGGGAAAGGGGCAGGAGCCTGGGTAGAAACGCCAGCCCTGAGCCCTACCTGGCCCCTGGGCTGGAAGCTTAATTCACCCCAAGCCAAAGAAAAGGCGGACATGGGGTGGGGTGGAAGGATCTGAGGGTTCTTGGCTGGGGTGCTCAGTTGAGAAAACAAAGGGACTCTCCAAACACCCTGCAGATGGGACTCAGGGGAACTTCCCAGTTCAGATATGGGGCAGGGACTCTTCTGAAAGACCTCGACCAGGACAGCAGCCCACAAAGTGAGATGCCACAGGAAGCAGGCAGAAAGACAGTAGGGACCCATGGTCAAGGAAAGCCCTTGGGGCAGCCCCTCACCACACCAAGAGTCCTGAGCAGAAGAGAAAGCTGAGGCTGCACAAACAGGAAGCCACTAGGCTTGCGCCAGGGAGGTGAAGTGGGGGCTGTTGCCATGGCTTCTGTGTACCAAACACAGAAATGGAGGCAGGGTGGGGGCACCAGGCGAGAATGCCTGCCCAACACAGGCATAGGAGGAGGAGGCTGAACCCAGGGGCAGCAGTGGGATCCTCACAGCAGTTCTCAGGTGCAGCGAGGTGCAAAGGAGTCATCTGTCCAAGAAGGAGCCACATGGGGGCAAAGAGAGCATTTGCAGGAGATGGGAAAGGCCCAGTTCCGGGGTAGAGAGGCAGACTTAGGGAGGTGGAAGTTCAGGAGAAGAAATGACCTGGGAAGGGGAGGTGTGTTTTGAGCTAGAGAATTCATACCTGAAAAGTCTGAAGGGAGAAGGGATAGAATGAAGAATAAATTAGAGGCCACTCCCCTGGGGGTGCAGAGGCTGTAGAGTGAGAAAGGGGATTTACAGTAGGACAGACTATTTGTTGGTTCTGAAGAGACGGGACCTTGCTAGCCCAGCTCTATCGTGGCCTCCTCTGCAGTTTTAGGTCTGCCCTAGGGGATAGGAAGGAGAGCTTGGGAGGCGGTAGGATAGGGGGTGAGGGAGTGGCTGAGTGTAGCTATCTGGGGCTTTGAAATCACAGACAGTCAAAGAGAAACCTGGGGGAAGGAGGATTCCTCGTGTAAGCCACAGGTCTCATACACCGGATCCCCACTCTCCGGCCTCACAGGTACCAAATGCTCTCAGAACCTCCACGGTACAGGCTCCAGGAGGCAGCAGAAGGCTCCAAGAAGCTTGCAGAGCTGGGGAACAAGGCAGTCCACTTCCGGTCCTGCAGGTCCAGCCTCCACAGCCGCCGCCCCCACCCCACGGCCACACCCTGGCCGTTACTGCCGATGAGTCACCACCGCCCGCCCGTCGGGGGGTGACGCAGTGGTCTGGGCAGCCCGCCCGCCGCCCGCGGCCACCGCCGACTTTCCCAGCAGCAGGGGGCACGGGTGGGGCAGCGGGGTTCGGGCAGAAGTAGGAGAGTCTGGAAAGTAGCCGACCCCCCCACACACACACACACACACATACACACTGACAGGGCATCCCAGGACGCAGTCTAGGCTGCAATCCCCAGGTGCCTGAGGTCGGGGGACCTCCAGGAGAAGACTGGAGCTTCACAGAAGGTGAGACCATAGTGCGACCCACGCACGGAGCCTCCTAACCCCAGCCAGATCCTGCGTCTCCAAAAAAGTGAACTGGCAGGAGAAGGAACGGAAAAGGCGGACTCCGGGAAGCAGAGGCATGCAGCGCCCACACGTGCTCCCACAACCAGGAAGTGAAGGGTCGCGCGGGAAGCCCCAAGAACGCCCAGCCGGCCCGAGGCTGGCGCCAGGGCCCAGTACGCGCCGTCATCCCGGCCAGCCAGCCCAAGTCCGACACCCTTTCACCCTCGCCCAAACGAGGACTCGGCACTGGAGCTGGCGGATGGGGCGCAGTCCCCGAGTCCCTGTTCCAGACGGACGCCCCGTCTATGCACCGGCAAACCTAGCCTGACCTCATCGTGCAACAATGCCCGGTCAGGGCTTGGGGACCTGGCCTGACAGCACAGGGCGGAGCAGAGCAGTTAAGTCATTGAACCTACGTCCGATACCAGCCCTTGATCCCCAAGCTAGTTAGAGCAAGCCACAAGCGCTGGCTTCTCACTTTCTACAGCCCATGCACATCCCCCCCTTGGCCCCTCCGCCCAGCTCACCGTTCGGATGGGCAGGACAGCTGCACGCTCGAGTCAGGGTCTGCAGCCGCAAGTGGTGCGCTCAGGCCGGGCGGGGGGGGGTTTTCAGGAGGGTCCCGCCTCAGACTGGGTGGAACAGGGGCGGGGCAAGGGCCCTGAGGGTTTAAAGGCGCCGCAGCGGAGATGGGGCGGAGGGGCAGTGCTTAAGAGAGGGGCAATGGACCAGAGGAAGGGTTAAAGGATCTGAGCAGTCTGGGACTACAAAGGCAGCTGTGGTGGTCTCTACCCATGAGAACCTCAACCTCCACCCAGAAGCCCATAGACTCGCGCCCCCAGTAACTTTCTGCCTAGAAAGTTAGCCCAAAACTGTGGGCGTGTTTATGTAGGAAGAAACCTCTTGGTTTAAAAGCGCTGGCAAAGTAAACGGAGGCACAGAAAGACCCGCACCCACCCCAGTTGACTAGGGTGTGGCAGGACCGGAGTTTGCAGGTCAGGGCAACACTCCCACGTGGTCTTGCTCTCCACCTGCTTCAAGCCTAGGCAGAAGGAACTGTGAGGTCACTCTTTGCCCTCGGCGTGAGGGGCGTGGTCAACGCTGAGATCTGAGGTTCAGACCTGACTTTTCTCCCGCTTTCATCTTCTCCTCTATGACCTGGCATCTTTTCTTAAACCTTGGAGGGATTGGAGTGGGAGGTCTCAGTGGAGAAGGAAGCCAGCCAGGGTCCTTCAGTCTTTCCGGGTGGAGTCCTGACTTCAGCCATCAGTGGAGCTCTCCACTTAGAGTCCCCAGCCGAGTCTCATATCAAGAACATCAACTACCAATCGTGTTTCACTTTTCCACAAACTCTGTCCCCTTTGCAAGTCCTACACAGCCCTATATTCCAGTACTATCAAGTGTTAGGTATTTTCACTCCCCTGTGCCTTACAAAGGCTGTTCCTCTGCCTGGGATGCTATCCCTTCCTAAACTGGCTTCTCATCTGCTCTGCCTTTACCCACAGTGACTTTTGTGCAGATTACTGAAGCATTCTCTGCTTCAGTTCCCTAATCTGTAACGCAGAGCTAACAGTACTACCTAACTCAGAGAACTAGAGCAGTGTCTGGAACACAGTGAATGCTATTATTACTACCACCTTCTGCAAGGATCCCTCTGATGTACCTGTGTACCATTTGTCCCAGCACACACTGTAATCATTCACTGAGTATCTGTTGCCTCGAGCTGAACTCCTTCTGTTGTGCTGCCATAATAATCAACACACACTTTTATCTCAGAACTTATCATATCATACTGTAACTATTTCTTTACTTGTCTGCCTCACTGACTAGAAATAACTCCCCAAGGGCAAAGGCATGTCTTCAGAAACTTGTATTTTCTCAGCATCTAGTTCAATGGCTGGTCTTTAGTAGCTGACCTCAGTAGGCACTGCTTGAATGAATGTTGAATGCAGCCCCATTCATTCAGGAAGATCCCCCTCCTCTTTAAGGGCCCAGGGATTTCCCCACCTCTCTCTTAGATTCAAAGCCAGATAGATAACACACAGAAATATTCTTCAAACTTTATTCACCTGTAAAAAAAAACTTCACCCACACCACAAATACCAAACCCACACCCATACACATATACACACACACATACGAAGGGGCAGACCTATGATCCCTGTTCCAATCCCCAGACTCACCTATGGGATCAACACATACATCTCACACCAACCTCACCCAAACCCACTATTAGGGTTTATGCCTGGCACCAAAGGGCCAGGGGCAGTGCCCTAGTTTGGAGCTAGGTCTTGTTGAGGGCCTCCTCTGCAGGTCCACATGCCCTTGCCCAGCTTCACATCAGGGGTGTTCACAGCAAAGTGGCCTGTTCCGAGTGGGGGGCTGGCTGTCGATAGGCAGGTAGCCGAGCCCTAGTAGCATCCCTGCGGCGGCGGAAGGCAAGGAATTCCTCCCGGAGGGCAGCACAACGGGCCTCAGGGCCAGTAGCATGGGCAGTGTTCAGGGGACAGCCCTCCTCAGGGATCTTTGGACCTGAAGAGGGGGGCAAGACAATGACAGAAGCAGCTGTGGGGTTCATTGAGGGGAAGGCTCAAACAGAAGCACCCTAGGGCCTTTAATGCAGTTACACCAAGGGAGTAAGTCACTGCCTAGAGTGGAGAAGCCTGGAGCAAAGGGCCTGACTGAACAGACACGTCCTCAGGTGGTGGGGGGTGTGGGACAGGGCTGCCAGGAGTGCCTGCCTCTCTGGAGAGCTCACATACCTAGCTCTGGTTCAGTGTCAGGTCGGAACCGGGATCCAGCCAAGCCCAGGTGCATAGTCTCCAGCAGTTCCATGTCCCCAGGGAATTCTGAGTCCCATTCATAGTTCTCATCCACGGATGTGTTCCTCCTGTTAAAAGTGACAAATATGTGGGTGGAAGAGATGGCCATGGGTTTCCCATGGAAATCTTTGGGTCTCAACAAAAGCTGCTAAAAGGAGACATGGTCTCCTGTTCCCAGGGTGCACATGGAACCAAGAAGGTGGAGGGGTGGGGAAGTGTGGAAGGGCAGGGCAGGACCAGGTTCAGGGTAGGGACGGGCAGGGACTGCCCTCACACCTCTTGCTTACTGTCACCACATGCTCCCTTCGGGGCCACCTCTCGGGGCCACTGGCCCAGCTGCTGGTGTCTCCAGGAACAGGGCTGAGGTAGCTGCCTCCTGCAGAAGGGGCTGTGGAGGGAGGCCTCAGGAAAGAGGCGCTGCCCCGCCCACTGCTCTGGCTTGTAAGGCTACCACGAGGGGCGGCAGGGAGCAGGCTTGGCAGCAGCCGCTCCCTCAATGTCCAATCAGCCAGGGCTGTGTAAGGGACCTCCAGGGCAGCCCCAGCCCCTACCACAGTCCCAGGAAGTGCTGCCCTGGTGGACATAGGTGGTGAGTCTGAGGGCCGAAGGAAAGATGAGGTGGGGCAGGGCCGGGTATCCATGTAATCTGGTGGGGCAGCAGGGCCAGGCTCCTCAAGAGGGGGCCAGTCCCCATCCACATTCATCTCCCGAAAGAAAGGCAGGCTCAGGTACTGGAGCAGGGGTCCTGGACCTGGAAGGGGACTGGGCGGGGCTGCTGGAGGGGGCACCACAGGGCTGATGTCTGCGATGCAGAGGGGCTGGGGTGCCCCACTGGGGCTGCTGCTGCTGCAGTGAAAGGACCGGGCCAGACGCGGGTCTGGAGTCCGAGGTTCTGCCTGCTCCGAGCCTGATCTTTCTTGGGAGGCCCCGACAGTGGGTCCCATCACAAAGCGCCCATCTGGGCCACGACAAATGGTCTCCAGGGGTAAAGGTCCCCGGCCAGAAGGAGGATCTGGATGGGGGCTGGGAGGTCCAGCAGGTTCCCCCCAGAGCAGACTCTGACGCAAGCTGGGAACTGGGGAACCCTGGAGCTTCAGCTTCACCACGCTGTCGGGACTGTCGGATCCCGGAGCAGAGCTGGAAGGATGGGGCGGAGATCAGGGTCTGTAGTAGAAAGCCAATCCCCCTCTGGGTGCCAGGCTTGAGCGGTATGGCTCACAATAGTGCAGGGCCCGGAAAGTAAGCAACCACAGGACCAAATGGGTAGGAGGGTGGAGAGAAGGTACAAGCAGCACTGGACCGTGCTGAGGCCTCGCACCCACCTTCTTGCCCCGACCCCAAGGTGCAAAAAAGGAAGTAAAGGACACAGATGCGTACAAATAGAGAGGCGAAGCCAAAGTGATGCAGGTACTTACTGTGAAGCTGACTTCCGAGGTGGAGAAAAGAGAAGAGGTGGATCTGTAAGGGCATGAGAACAGGAGGTGACACAGGTGAAACTCAAACTCTTCTAGGGCCCCAGGTCCTGACCCTCTCACCCCAACCTCAGACTCTCAACCCTATACAGCTGGGGAAAGCCTAGACAATTCAATATGCAGGACTGTGGGAATTCACCTGGGCCCAGCAGGTGGGAGGATAGTCCTTGAGGCGCGTAGAGTGTGGTAAGGGGGACTGGGGGCGAGTCCTTCTGGGCCCCCAGTACTCAGACCAGACCAATGGGGCAGAAGGGACTACCTTGGCGGAGGCGTTTTCGTCTCCTACGGGCAGCCCTGCGCCGGTTCATGAGGCAAGCGGCCAGGATGCTCACGAGGACGGCCACGCCCAGGAAGCAGACCCCGCCCACCAGGCCCGCCAGCACAGGTTGGGGCAGTAGGCCGGGCAGCTGGGTACGCGACGGGTAGACCTCCAGGCCTGGGCAAGGGCCGTGCGGGAAGGTCAGTGGATCAAGAGCCCTCGCAGTCCCCCGCACCCTGCCCTCCCTCTGGGTTCTCACCAGAAGTGGAGACATTGGCGGTGTTGCTGGGGTCGCTGACGTAGCTGCCTGCTAAGGCCACCAGGCGGAATTCATAGAGGACATCCTGGAAGTTGGGGATGGTGTCCAGGACGGAGGTTAGGGTTGGCATTGACCATCCCAGCCTCATCCAGAAGGGCTTTGGAGGTGGGACAAAAGGGTGAGGCAGGACATGTGGGAGCCAAAGATGGTCACATCCAGTTGGGAAGGTGGGGTTTGAGGAATGGAGGACGCTGCTCCTGCACATACCTTGATGAGACCTGGCACCAGCAACTGTGTTTCTGCGCCAGACACGGCCCGGTCCAGCACCTCCCAGCCCTGGGACCCTTGCCGTCCTTCCAAGATGTAGCCATCCAGTCTCTTAGGGACCAGTTCTGGGGGATCCCAATGCAGAAGTACCCCCCGCGGTGTCCTCACTGCTACCAGACTTCGTGGAGGGGACAGGGAAGGCGGTATCTCTGTCGGGGTAAGCCTGGGAGCAGCTGTTGTGGTAGGAAGCCCTGAACAGGATAATGGGCACATCACGTTTCTCATCCTGCCCCTCTCCTGGCCTTCTACAGTCCACAGTACCCAACCCTTCTCCTGAGGGCCCCTAAAGACAAGCTCAAATCATCCTCCACACACCCTTCTGTACCCCAAGCTGCCCAGCACCCCATCCCACCCAGAGCCTCCCATGTCCCAGCTCCCCCAGCCAGCCCTTCCCACCCATATCTCTGCCACTTTAGGGCAAGAGGCCTCACCTTCAGGAGCAGACAAGACAATCTCGCTGAAGGGCCCACTCCCCAGCCTGTTCTGGGCCAGCACACTGAACTGGTACTGGGTGTGGGGCTGCAGCCCCGGCACCAGGAGGTGAGCAGCCCCCACAGGCACAGCCAAGGACACCCAGTCGTGGTGGGCTCGGTCAGGACGCTTGGCCCTGGGGGACACGAGGAAATGGTGATCACCTCATGAACTGAGAAGACCAGGAAGGTCTGGAGTCCAGCAAGCTGACCACCCCACTCTTCTTAACCATCTGAGATCCCAGGACTTGGGCCCTGAACACCTCCAAGTCTGAAGACAGGGCAGCAGGGCTGGTGCCAGCTAGGGATAGAGGGCTGGAGAAAGGGCAGAGGCCAGAGGATTTTAGGGTGGAGAGGGGAGTAGGTGAGGCTGGGGCAGGGGCAGGCCACTCACAGTGGGGTGTACCAGACACTGAACCTCTGCAGGTAGCCACCATCAAAGCCAGGCTCCCAGGAGACGTTGGCACCCTTGGGCAAAGGCACCACAGACACATTGGTGACAACGTGGGGACTGGTGCCTGGGTAGGGGGAAAAAGAGAGACGGGTGATAGGCCCCTGTGGGAAGGTGGAAAGCAAAGGGATCCCAGGGTCTCTGACCTCCACCCACCATCCCAGGGGCCCCACCCCCATGATCTCCCATCTGGGCCTCCTATCCCATGTGGTTCCCCCAGCGCCCAGCACATACTCCAGCCACTAACCCAGCACGTAGATATTTGTGGAGGTGGCCACTCGGGCTACAGCATTGCTGGCACTGCATTCCCAGCGCCCATGGGCCTCCTTGGTCAATGGTCGCAGTATGAGGCTGCTGTTGCTGTCCACTTGGGCCTGGCCCCGCAGCCCCCAGCCCACCTACAGAACCACTGGTCAGCCCTGAGGACACACGCAGCCACCCCTCACCAAGGGCACCCCTCATCTCTCCAGGCAACTCAATTCCTCCCCTCCCACCCTGCCTCCCACAGCCCTCTCCGCCCCATACCCTCCTCCCCACAGAATGGCCAGGGGCAGAGAGAGGCAGTGGAGTAGTGGGCACAAGTACAAGCAGAGTGAGTCAGGGCCTTACCTTGGCCCAGGAGACAATAGGAGGAGGGTCCCCTCGGGCAGAACAGGGTATGAGTAACTCCCGACCTACTTCTTGGAAATATTCTTCCTTGGGCCTTTCTATAAAAGCTGGGGGAGCCTGTAAGCCAGATCTGGCATTGGGAGAGGCCCCTCTCCTCCTGCCTCTCTTACATCACTGTCAAGGTTGGCTGCTCCCCTCTCTAGGTTCCTTGAAGCTGGATGTTTCTGCTTCCGTCTCAGTTTCTCTCTACCTCTCTGTCTATTTCCCAGCAGGCAGAGTTTGGGGGGAGAGGAGTAGTAAGGACTGGTGGGTTGGGTTGGCATCTTGGAAGCACATCGGCCTCTACAGAGCCCCAGAGAGGGAGGCAGCATGATCAGCATTAGTGAGCACAGGGACAGTCAGGGATCTTTCTTGGGGGGAGGGAGTGACCAATGTCCCACCTCCCAGTGCCATCTTTACTACATATATGCCACCTCTGGGATGGCATCTGATAACTGCTGCTGTGGCCACCATGGGAAACAGGCCTCACTCCACCCATCAGTCTGGCTCAGCCCCCGACCGTCTGCTGTTGTAGGTGCCAGTGCACCCTGTGCCTCACCTTGAGCAGCACGCGGGTCACTGGGGAGGGCCCGGCAGTGCCCAGACTGTTATAGGGAGTGCAGGAGTATTCTCCCAGGGCATCCTCATTTCCCAAGGCGATGATCAGTGAGCCCTCTGTGCCCTGGGACCAGCCAGGGAACTGAAACAAAGGGGAGACATACGAGAGAAAGAAACTCAGCAGAGGCAAGACCATGATGACAACATGTGAAGCAGGCTTCGTGCATGACACCCATGCAGAGGACGCCACAGCTCCATGTCTAGGCCTGACCCCTTTGAATCCATCCTTCCTTTCTCTCTCTCCTTTGGAGGGACCACTACCACTACCAATGGTGTGAGGCTGTGACCTCAAGTCACAGAAAACAGAGTGAAGGGCGACCCCTGGAGTTCAGCCTTGCCTGCTGGAACCTCCCTGAGCTATCTTTCCAGCGCTCCACGACATTCAGTGTCTTCCACCCAAACCAGCTCCCATTCCTATATTAAGGCCCTGCTGTCGTCTTTGCAAAAGTCTGACCCCTTTCCCTCACTCCCTGTAGCTAAACCCTCACTAAGCCTGTCTTCTTGGGCAGAGGGTTCATCCATCTTCATGGCCCCCTAACTCAGACTTCATGACCTGTCACCTGGACCATTTCGACAGCCCCCGACCTGCCCCTCCTACATCTGCTTTCTCCTGCTAAATTCCACCTGCCACACTCCAGTCCTGCTTTACTGGCTCTGGTGGCCTTTAGATTTTTTTTTTTTTAAACATTCAACAAAAACGTACTGAGCACTACTACTATCATAGAAGACTTGAGGACAGGCTAGGATTAAAAGATGCAACACTAGGCCTCAAGGAATTTATAGGCGCTACAGACAAAAGATCCCAAGCACCTTGGAATGAGGTAATACTAACTTGGCATCCAAGGGTCTTTCTTTTGGCCTGAGCCTGTCTCTCCAGCTTTCTCTGCACCACTCTTGTCCTTACAGGCACTCCTACACCCCCACCCAGGCAATTCATTATTCCCTAAACACATTCTACCATATCCTGCCTCTAGGCCCTGGTTTTTGTGGTGGGGTGACAGTCTATCCTTTAAGACCCATCACCAAAGTCCCAGAACCTGTTGCTGATCTAAGTGGAAGGTACTTACTCTACCCTCAGCTGTCCAACAGAGTGTCTGTATTGCCATCCTCCCCCCACAGTGCCCTCTGTAAGGATGGAGGCCTCCTTGCCCTTGTCCTCCACTTACCCCCCTGCACATGGCACTTGGCAAGAAGTGTCCATTCTCCCAGTTCACCAACTCTGTGCCATCATTTTCCCCAGAAGTCATCTCTCACCTTTTCCCCAAATAAGAAACACAACTAGCTGCACCTGAAACCATGGATATTTCCCCTCAGGGGCATAAAGTTGCCTATGCAAACATGTCTTGTAACACAAACTAAATTCTATAAAAGAAATGCATGTTCCCTAGTCACTGAATTGGATTAAGCTGCACTAAACAGAATATCACCAAGCTGAGATCTTCCTGCGCCCACCCTAAGCCTGTACCTTGTCCAGCTGCAGGGCCTGGCCATCCTTGGTCCAGCTGACAAACAGCAGTGGAGGGTCAGCACGAACTGGGCACCGGATCACCCCCCGCATGCCTATGGGCAGGGGTGTCTCGGGAGGCATGGCTGTTACCTGGGCTGGGTCTGAGGGAAAGCAGTGGCAAGTTGGGGGAGAGGGCCTGGCTTGGCCCAGGGCAGGGGAGCAAGCTGGGGAAGGAGCTGGGGTCAGGCTTACAGAGCACAGTGAGGTAGGCAGAGGCTGAGGGTGAATGCAGGAGGCCATTGCTGGGCACACAGGTATAGCGGCCGGCATCATCAGGCTGCACAGCCTGCAGCCACAGGCTCCCATCCACCAGGATCCGCACGCGGGACTGCAGGCGGCTGTGATATGGCACGGGTGAGGAAGGGGTCAGGCCTGGCCCAACCAAGCGGCTCCTCACAGACTGTCCACCTCCACCCCTCCTAACGTGGGTGAGCCCACCTAATGTGAAAGACATTGATGCCGTCTTGGAACCAGCTGTAGGTGAGGTTAGCAGGGTATGCCTCAGCCTGGCAGGCCAAGGAGACATCCTGGGAGACATTGACGGTGCTGTTCTTGGGGGGCACCACGATGACAGGGGGTCCTGCGGGAAGCACCAAGGGAGGGAGTTGGCTTCAGTCCATAGTCTTCCCAGAACCTGGGGGACGCTTCTACAACTTTCTGGCTCTGCCCTCTGGAATACAGGGCTGGGTGTTACAGGGCCTTGAGGAACTGAAACAGAACCTCCCCCTTGTATATGATAAAAGTTCATCCTCTCCCAGAGCCAACTTCCCAAATTCTCCCTGTCCCACCAGGGGCAATTGGGTTCACCCAGTTCCCCTGCCTACATATTGTGTGTGTCTGGGGCTCTTCCCCATTTAGCTTTTGTATCCCTGCCGGGCACAGCTGAAATCACCTCTAGGCCTCCTGCCCTAACTCCAGTACCCAATACCTCACCCCAAGATGCTGCAGCACCTCCTGCCTCCAGGCTCCCCTATTGCTGCTGTCATGGCCATTAATGCAGAAATGGCCTCTTGGCCACAGAACACTCTGTTCAAGAACCTGCAGCAGCTCCTGGCTCTGCTCACATTCAGCTCAAACTTCCTGATCCAGCCATGTGGGCCCCTGAGACACAACCCCTCTCTACCTGGCCAACCATCTTTCCATGTCAAACCTTAGGAATGGGCAGGTGGCTGTCCCCATGCCAGGCCCACCCCATCTCCATGCTTTTGCTCTCTATACCTGCTAGTCTGGAATGCCCTACCCAAGGGCCTGGCCCACCCACATACCCCCAGCAAAACCTTCTGATTACCGCAGCTCTACTGCTCCCTCCTCTGGCCCCTACTGCACAAGTTGTAAGTAAGAGGAGGTAAGACTACAAGCTGACGGGTAGAGAGCAGCATCTCCATCTTCTACATGAACAAAGGGAGGCTCAGAGGCAGAGAGACTGTGAGGGGACTTGCCCCCAGGACAGCAGGGGAGGCAAGATTCATGTTCAGGCCTTCCCGACGCCAGACTACACCCTTCCCCACTCCCCAGCACTGCCTGTCTCTCAGCACCGTGGAGAACTCTTGCTGTCTCTCCATTAGTCCTATCTCCCCCCCAATAGAGAAGAGGCCCTATGAAGGCAGAGCCCAGGCCTTGCACTTCTCAGCTTTCCTCCTGAAGGAAAGGTCTTGGTCAGGAATTACCATGTGCTCTCACCATCCTCAGCTAAACCAAATTAAATTCTTGTGGCAGTCCTGAAAGGGGGCTATGAATCATAAAGATGAGGAACTAGAGTGGGGGCTTCGTGGCTCATGCCTACCTAACACAAGCACTCGTGCCCGCCCACTGTAACACACTGTTGAGCATAAATAGCGATGGGTCTTAAAATTAAGATGCTGGTTTTAGAGCAGTGGCCTGCATTGGGAGTCCCCTCACTTTCCATGGGGTCCTGCCCTCAGGCACAAGTCTCTTCCCCATTCTGCCAAGCACCTCTCCATTGGTCAGTCCTCTTAAGTGTCCCTGGACCCCATCCCTCCCACCAGTGAGCACCTAGCACCAGCAGCTGGGTGGTGTGGGTGGCGCTGCCCTCAGTGCTGGTGGCTTGGCAGGTGTAGACCCCAGAGCTGCTTCGCTCCACCCTCTGAATCCACAACGTCCCGTTCTGCACCTACAGAAAGAGTGGATGAGGAAGGTCCTCCCTCACCATCTCCTTATCCCATCCCCCACCTCCTGCCCCTAGCTCCCCTCTGGCCTCATACCCTGCACTTCCGAGGCTCACCAGCAGAGGGAGGCAGCACCCCAGGCTCAGGGAAGCCAAGACAAAGCCTCTCCTCCAGCCCACCTTCCAGCCTGGTCTTTGCTCCTTCTGTCCTCCAGCCTCATTCCCAGGCCCCACCTCCCCCTCACACTCTGTCTAGCCCACTTTACCCAGCTCCAGGACTCACTTGTACGTGACCCTGGCCCTGGCCAAGCTCTTGTCCTCGGAGCTTCCAGGTCACGTGAGGCTGGGGGCTGCCCCGGGCCACACAACGCAGGGTCACAGGCTCCAGTTCCTTCACTTCCAGCACCGGAGGAGGCGTCTCCTGGAACTGAGGGGGCGCTGCAGGGGAGAAAGACATCAGGGACTGCCAGAGGTGCTAGCAGCCCAAAGGGCAATGTCCAAAGGCCAGGAAGACAGACCACTCAGGGCTGATCCTTCTGCCCACCAGCCCACCCACCTGCATAGGATTCCCCAGCCCAGGGCCACTCTGCTATACCCAGGCCCAAGAGAGGCTTGCAGCAGCCCATCCCCACACGCTGCCCCGGGTCTGAGCCTGGGAGAGCTAAGTGCCCTGCAGAAGAGCACTGTTGTAAGAGTCAAGAGGCTGGGGTCCTAGACTCTACCCCTAATCACAGCATGGCCCAGCCTTTCTGTGCTCCTATGGAAGAACAATTATGACTTCTTTCTTTCTTAGGGGTGAGAAGGAATGAGGTGCTGGGTGAAAAGGAGTTTTGAAACAGCAGGCCAGGTGTGTGTAAGCTGTGCTTCAGTCAGGGCCCGTGAGCCCCCTCTCCCTGAGCCTCCGCTGTGGCCAGGGAGACAGGAGGGAAGAGAGAGGGAGAGGAAGTTCTTAACATAGAGCCTAGGAGGCTGATTTGATTTGGAGAACTGAAAGGGCAGGAGCAGGGAATGGGGGTTGGATAAGATGTAACCACTAAGTGAGCAAACAAGGCCTGCCAGGAAGTGTGGGGCATTGGAACTGCTTGTGGGATGGAAACAGAACTCCTCCTTCCCCTTTCTGCCAGAGGTCCCCATTAGCCTCCTCCCTGCCCTTCACCGCCTGCTCCCCAGCTTCATACAATTGACTGTCAGGTGCACCCAGGAGCCGTTAGCAGAATCGTCTTCAGGCCTGTGCTGGTCCAAGAAGAGAACGCGGCACTCGTACCAGCCCTGGTCTTCCGCCCGGAGCCCCTCGATCTGGAGGGATGCCCCCTTCTGCAGACGGACTCGTCCTGGGGGAGGAGCCTGAATCAGAGGTGCTGAAGGGGCCCCATAGGAGGCCCCAGAACCTAGTCACCCTGGTCATTCTCAGAGGTTAAGAAAATGCTTAGTCTCTCCTGGTTACCCTGAAAGAGTGGCGTCCAGAGGGGTACATATGGGGTGGGGGTCATTGAGGGGAGGTCCCTCCATTCAGCCTCTCTCACTGCCCCTGCCCTTCAGCAACTAGGACCCAATCTACACAAAGAGAAGCCCAGAGGGACAGCAGGTGCAAGAGGCCTTCCACTGAACTGTAGCTGGTGCTCAGGACTGTCAGGGGAGGTTGGTGAAGAGAGTCAGCACTTAGTTCCTCTGGATTCTCATAAGATCTATTCACCCTTGGGCTCTTTTTATAGGCAAAGGGCATGGATGGACTTCCAGGAGTATTCCTCCTGCCAAAGGACTCTGCCCCTGAAAACCTCAGCCATGTTGGAGGCCCTAGCAGGGACCCAGACCCCGCCTGCCAAAGCCCCTAATCCCTCAGGGCTATTATCAGCAGCCTAAGCGCCTTAGGGTGGCCAGAGTCCAGCCCAGCCCAGCAGCAAAGTCAGCAGCCTCCTCATCCCATCCCCTCCACGCCCCAGGGCACTCAGGCCCCAGCTGACTGACCACATAGAGCTCCACAAAGCCACACAGTTACAGCACAAGCATACACCCCAATCCCACCCTGAGTCAGCATCCACATGGCACTGCCAGGCTCAGACTGTGAGTGTCCACCCAATCTTAGCACCCTCTCAGTCTGGAGCCTTTCACCCCAGGCAGCTCCATGGGTCCCTGACAGTGTAGCCCAGTGAGACAGGCATTCACCAGGGAGCCAGCTAGACCAACACAAGCCCAGCTCTGCTGCATACTCCTTTGGGCAAGTAATTTAGCCTCTCGTTCTATTTCAGTTTCCTCATCAGCAAAAATCAAAGAAAAAAAAAATGGGATGGGGTGGAAGGGAAAGAAAACGTGGGGGCAGGTGCAGCCCGGTACCTGGCATCAGTAAGTGCTCAAATAAAGGCTATTGAACAAATAAATGAGTTCCAGATTTGGGATCAGAAGCCTGCACTTAAGCCCGGGCCCTGAACCTCACCTGGTCACACACATGCTTTCCCTTCTTTCCCAGCCTCGGTAAATAGTTTCCCATGCACCAAATCATCCTGCCGGAAAGCGGCAACCACCTAGACCCTTCTATCAGCCCGCACGTCCATGTATTCACTGCATCTTTCAAATGCCACCTCCTACAGATGTGTTTCCTTCTCTGCCATCCCCACCTTTACACCTGTAGCATGTCTCCATGGGTTTCTCCGGCACCCTACTCTCAGGTCTCCTGCCTCCAGCCTACTCCCCCCCACTGTCACCAGTTGCTCACCCCCACCTTGACCTCTGATATGGACAAATGGCCTTTTCTAAATCTCACAGAGTATGCAAAGGCAGCACAAGTCCTTGGTGTTATGCTCGTCCAACCAACCAGCACTGTGCCCAACCTAGCCCTTCTTAATACAAGAAATTCTGAAGCCCCTCCAAGATGCTTCCATTCTACCGCTACAGTGACCTTTCTGAAACAGAATCTAAGCCTGAGGTGCCCCTAATACCATCAGGGGGGAAAGGAGAAGGCTCATGTCGAGGCGGGCGTTATAGTCTTAGGTAAGGGTCTTTTTACTACTAAGGCTGAGCTCAGGGTGTGGGTTCTCTAGAATGGGTGCACCTGCTTAAAGAGCTAGATGTTTAAATCTCCACCCAGGAGATAAGACTAGGTCTAGCAAGTAAATATTTAACATAATCATACATTTCCACCCACCAGCAAGATTCCTCAAAAACCCTAATCTGCCCAGCCACTGAGCCCCCTAGACTCCAGATTGCAGCCTTTTCTGTGTCCCATATGAGGGTTACATTTCACTATGACAATCTTCTAACTGAACAGAGGAGGAAGAAGCGGGAAGGGAGATTGAGCCATGTAGTGTTAGGCATTGTCACTATAGTCTTCCTAAGAATTTCATTATAAAGGAACTGATGTTAAATTTCTATTCAAAATCACAGGCCTTCTTTCTCCAGATGCAGCGTGCTCTACCCTGAACACTGGGGTTAGAATCAATTGACATTCAGGCTACTGAGCAATCAGGGCATTCTCAATTGGGAGTTGTTGGTAGCCAGTGGGTAACGGTTCCACATGTTAATCAGAATAGCCAACGAAGCATACTGCCTGTCCTAACTTTCTGGGAGATCTGCTAGACCTGCCAGGTTACAGAAGAACAGGCAGATGACCAGGGCTGTGGTCCTGAGTTCTCCTGAGTGATGGGCCCATCTCTTTGAGGCCTTCCCTACTACACCTGCAGGGCCAAAGTCCCATGAACTTCAGATCTTGCCTCACACAAGGGTGTGTCAAGGAGACAGTGTCTGCTCTTTCAAGCTCTTAGAAGGCAGGGAAACCACAGGCAAGTTCACATCCACACAGAAATTCAAAAAATGGTGTTAACTGTGCCCAGACAGTGCACTATGAAGGAAGTGGAGTCAGGAAGGCTTCCGGGAAGATGTAACGAGGCAGAGGGTCTTGAAGGACGAGAAGTGGGAAAGGGAGCTATCTAGGGCAAATAGGGGAGTTGAGTTCTAAGTGGAGAACCAGAGAACTGATTTTTATCAAACAATTCAGGACAGGACAAAACACGTGTCCCTCCTCCTATTTGGGGCATCTTGAAACTCCCAAGAAATATACCACAAAAGTCACAAAAAGCCTCTCTCCATCTCCCCCTCCTGAGGCCTGGTCACAGACTCTCAGCACGTGGGCCTGGTGCTGGGCTAATTTGATCCCACTGTTTAGTCCCAGCTTGTTTTGTACTGTTTCTTACTACTTTGGTACTAGTTGATAAACCTAGTCTCTTCTGCTAGATAGCTCCTAGAGTCCTCAAAGATTGGGAGCTTTCCCTTTGGCGTGGCCCTAATGCTCCAAAACTGTCTTGGGGTTCCTCACACACTTTAGGCCACCAGCTTCATGACAGTCCTAGTCCCATCTCCCCTTCACTGCCCAGAGGGTTTATGACAGAACGGCATTGTCCCTAGCAACCTCTACCTCCTGTTGCTTAGCAACTACAGTTCTGAGTCCCCCATACAAAAGCTGAGAGGCCCCTTCCACACTGTGAGGCGGTAAAAGGGTTAATGGGCTCAGGGGCCTCCCTCTAGAGTCCCTTACCCAGCTCTGGCAAGACAGGAGCACCAGCCCAGGGCAGGGGTGGGAACAACGGGGAAGGTAGGAAGAAAGCATCAGAGATTGCTGCTCACAGCCAAGGAACAAGACAGAGATAGAAGGAAAACCATCAGGTAGGCAAAGTCGCTAACCATCCACTGGCTTCTCTTCCCCAGGGGACCTCAAGACAGGCCAGAAGCTGAGGGGAGGAGGAAGAGTTTCACTCCTCCCTGGTGGAGGCCCAGAACCAGCCCTTCTCCTCCTACCCTCTGCGTCCCCAGCCAGGCAACACTCTGAATCTGTCCAGCCTCAGTGGCCCCAAACCCCCCCCAGGCCAGGCAGGCAGAAGCAAGGAGGGAGGGCTGGCGGGCACAGCCGTTTTTTTCTCCACTTGTGCTAATTGGGGCCTGCTTTCATCAATTCCCATGGGCTTGTGTAGACACATCCACTCCCACCGGGCTGTTTGCCAATAACTGCCCCCAGTTTGAAAATAAACTCTCCCCTCCTGCGGCACCTGCCTGTACCTCCTCCCTTCTCTGCTCAGCCCACCCCAAGGCAAGGGCTCAGCCAATCCCAGGGTTTCCCTCAGGATTTAAACTAAAGAGGGAAAAGGTAGGGGTCTTCTTCCCCGGTGGCCCTTTCTGGGTTTCCCCTCTGAAGAAGAGGCAAGAAGACTGTCTCTTGCCCGGCAACCTAGACCCACCCTTAGCACCCCCCAACTTCCCTCTGAGTCCTGGAGCTAAACTGCTCAGATTAAGGCTCCATCTGGGATTAGGAGGAAGCCAAGTCACTCTAGGGAACCAGCTGGGGTGAGGCAGAGGCCCCCCAGGAAGGCCTGTACAGGAACTGCCTGAAGCAGCAATCTAATCTGGCCCTATCCATTCACTGACCTTGGGGAGTCCAAGCCCTCCCCAGCCCACCCGTTCTGTATAGTCACTCCTCTGTACTCAGAAGCAGCCAGAGTCCCCCAACCCTTCCTTTCTGAGGAAGCAGAGAAATCAGAGCCCACCCTGACCCTGCTGCCCCTTCAACCCATACTCCCTAGAAGCCAACAAGCCTCAAGCAAACGCTTCAGCACATGCAGGAGGGGAGGGCAGAGAAGAAAGAGCCAGAACCAGGATGGGGTCAAGTGGGGAGACCACAGAAGCAGAGGATGGAGTCTGGGGGTTTCATGATGAGATGTAGAAAAAGCACTTAGAGGATTAGAATGGGTGCTTGCAATAGGGCTACAGGTCCTTTGGAACAGACCACATTGGAGTTCTAAATAGCACAGCCACAGTGAGTGTGTGTGTGTATAAATGAATGAATTCTTCAATGAACGAACACTGCTTGGGAGCAGGACCATGCTTGCAGGCAGAGCTAAGGTAGTGGAGCTGGCGAGGGGACTGGGGCAGGGACAGAGCAGTCAATAAGAGGTCACACCCTGCCCTCTGCCCTGCCCAGCCCACCTTGGTTGTGGATACCCTCTACCTTCCACCTGAGGATAACTCTTACCCACGTAATCAGGGTCAATTCGGGGAGAGTAGAGGCCGAACTGGATGAAGATGGGAAGCAGGAATCCAAAGCGCAGCCACTCGATGACATGCAGAGGGGGCCGGCCAGCCGGGGGCAGCAGGTCACAGCCCAGCACCACACTCTCCCCAGCCCGGCCCACCACAGACACCACCTCAGGCTTCCCTCGACCTGCATGGCGGGTGGCATGAGGGCACAACAGGGACCAGAGTCAGGGCTGGAAGGGGAGGTTCCTTCAGCATCTCTGTAGGCTCCTTAAGACTCTGGGTGATAGGATGAACCCCAGCTTCTCCAGGACCAACTACACTCCTCCCTTGCCCTCCCTGGCAACCCCATCCCAGGGCTGATAGGCAGCTCCCCAAGAGTCCAGCTCACCGTCAGCCCCCTGGCTGATGATCAGGCTGAGGATGGCCAGACTGAGGCACCACACCATAGCCCAGCTAGCCTGCTCACCCAGCCCCTCCCAGCCACAGGAGCTCAGATGGAGGGGCCAAGGGATGGCCACAGCCCGGCAAGCCGGGGGTCAATCCTGCTGCTTGGCCTCAGGGAACAGGTGTTAGCTCTCACTCTTCGGGACAGTCAGCGCTGGGCTCATGTAACAGTAGAGGAAGCTGTTCTCTGGATCCCACCAGATCTAAGTGCAAAGTGCAAGGCAACAGAGTTGGTCAGTACTGGAGGCAGAAGAAACCCCACAGCTAAAGGCTCCAGGAAGAGAAAGAAAAGAGAGGGGATTGGGGAGGATGGTCAAAGAGGCCAGAGAGCTTGAAGCTCTGGGGTGGAAGTACTGCAGGAATGAGGAGTGCTGAGCAAGGAGGCTAGAAAGGTGGACAAATGGTGGAGTCTGGCAGAGTTGGCAAGATCTTTGGAAACAGGAATTCTGGGGATGCCTAGGTTACTAAGGGTCTTGGAAAACTAAGCCAGGAGAAAAGTCGAAATTCCTTATACACGTGGAAAAAGACTTTTCAGGGAAGTATCAAGATGCTCTCACTTCTTCTCACTTCTTTCTTTACTCCTACCAAGGAAGTGGCAGATAGTGAGACAGAATCACTATTATTGCTTCCACTCCACTGTGACAAATAAGGACTCCGAGGTTCTCTGCTCAAAGTAAACAGGTAGTCAAAGGCAAACCCTGGATTCAAATCTAGTCTCCTTAACCACCAGAAAGTGGTCCCAGAGCACCTGCCTCACACAATCCTTTACCATTTCTCAGCCTCTGTAGAAATCCCTGGAAGTGGGGGGCCCTGTGGCCTTTCTCCACACAGGCAGAGAATGAGTCAGGCACTTGGGAGAGAAGAGGAGGAGCTGCCTCCCACACCTGCTGGAATGGGGGGCCCGCAGCATCTCCAGGTCTGGGCAGGTCCTGGGGCTGAAGACTGGTGCCGCTTCCTCTTCAGGATGCTGCCAGGCAGTGCTCCATCTGCCAGCACCACATCCCAAGGGCCTCACCCCAATCCCTCCCTCCCCTTCACTCCCTTCTCATATCACCAGAGTGCCAGGGTTTACCAGGCCCTGTCTTCCCCAACCCTAGAGGCATGATCCACAAGATGCCAAAAAAGCCCATGAGTCCCAGTGTAGAGAATGGGCCCTGGACCATGGAGGGCAAGAACTCTTGATAGCTCCAGCCCCACAGGTCCTGGGACAGTCACAGTAGCCAGAGGGCCCTGCCTGGGCCTAGTGAATCCAAGTGGACTCTGCTCTGAGGCCTCCACCCCATTCTTGACCTCACACACAGTTCAGGACTGGCTATAAAACATCCTCCACATGGCCATCTGACCCCTTGCTGCTACTTCATGCCCTCCATGCCTAACTCCTGACAATTCATCCACAGTGTTTCCCACTGCCCCTAGCTAGCTTGCCTATGATTCCCTGGAAAAAAACCGTTTTCCATGCATATAGGAGTCCCCAGCTCTCTCCTGGTTCAGTTTTCCAAGACCATTAGTAACCCAGGTATCCCCAGAATTCCTCCCCGTCCCCAGGGTCTTCCCAAATCCCCTGGCCTTCCCCATTTCCTCACCTTTCTAGACCCAGCATCTGGCACGCTCTCATTCTCCCTGGCCTCCCTTCCCACTTACCCCTACTCTTTAGCCCCCAAATTCCAGTTTCTCACATCTGATCTCCAATTGCAGCAGGTCATCAATGCCACAAAGAACTCCCTTCCGTTCTCCTCTAGAATCCCCATCTCTCCCTTCTCTCCATCCTTTACTCCCGGGAATTTCCCTCCTTGGAATTCTCCAGCTTCAGCCCACAATACACTCCTGATACCTCACCACACACACACCCCACCCCCAATTCCCTTCTCCCTCACATGCTCCGGTGCCCTGGAACTCCTTCTTTCTTCTGGAACCCACCATGAACTCCCCCACATTGCCTCCAGAACTCCTGCAGCTCTCCGGGAGCCCCCATCCAGCCACCCACCCACCTGGAATTCCACTTCACTCCCTAGAACTCCCCCTTTTCTGCTCCCCCAGAGAATCTATTTCTCTCTGGAACTCTCCCGGATGCTCCTGTTCCCCACAACTCTGCGGTGCTCTCCCTGCCCTCGCCAGCGCCCCATTTCCATCCGCACAGGACGGCACCCCTCACCTGCTCCGCTCCGCTCGGCTCCACTAGCGCGGCCACACAATAGGGGGCGGACCCGCCTCCCCGCCGCGGATGCCCCGAGCGCCTCCCGTCGCCCTGGAGACCGCCAATCCCCTCCCGCGGCGGCCAATGGGAGCAGACCCGAGGCCAGGCGGCGAGCGGGACCCCGAGCGGCCTGGGAGTTGTAGTTTGGACAGCTACGGGCCCGGAGGCACGTGGGCAGAGGTCGCCCCCTCGCGGAGCTCCAGACCACCAGGGAGAAAGGCCGCTTCCCGCCGCCGGTAGGAGGGCCCCGGGGTCAGGCCGGGGCTCTGGAGCTGCCGGAGCCGGCCCGCTGCAGTCTCCGCGCATGCCCTGCTTCCCTTGCAACCTACCTGCGACCCTCTCCCCTCCGCTAACGGGTGAGCGGCGGAGGCGGCAGCTAGAGTTGAAATCCGAGCCTGGGGGCAAGAGCACCGGCTGCCCTCCCTCCTCCCAGGGGATCCTCCCTGGTCCCGGCTCATCCGATCTCCTCCCCTATCCCTGTTCGATCTCCACCCATTTCTTTTCTTGCTGGACTGGAAATACCTGTCTGCATTGGCGAGCTCCCAAATCTTGCCCGGCGCCTCCAACGGTGCGCGGCTGGAGAAGGCCAGGCTCTGAGCTCGGGGTTGTGAAGTCAGCTCAGAGGCTATTCCCAGAGAAACTGGCCCAAGGGAAAGGAACTACAGAAGTCCTGACGCCGGACATTGATAGGGAAGCATGACATTAAAGAATCGTTTACTGAAGCCCTGCAAGGTGCCAAGCCCTGGACTAGTTGCTTTATGTAACCAGCGCAGGAACCCTGTAAAGTAAGTATAGTTCCATTTGATGGATGAGAAAACTGAGGCTCAGGGAGATGAGGTAACTTACCCAAGATTTCCCATCTAGGACGTAGGCAGAGATGGATTCAGACCCAAACCCTGCATCATCAAACCCACTCCCTTGGAGACTTCACCTATAAGCTAAGGAATACCTCCTATGATCTGCCCCTTGGAGGCTTCAACTTCTAGCTTGGTGATGCTGTAGGGATACAGGTTTTTTTTAACCTATCCAGGTCCATCCCATTCTGTTGCTCCCACCCCAGTCTGAGCTACTAAAAATTCTAACTGAGTGCAGCAGGCATCTAGCGAATGGAATCATCACTGCAGCGTCAGGTCTGAGTTCTGCTTGGTACCGGGATTCCTGGCACATCTTTCCTCCAGAGGATCGTCCAGCCCTTATCTGATCATACCTTGGGCCAGAAAGCTCTGTACTCCTGTGGTACCCAAGCCAACTTTAGTAACTAACTGATGGAAACTTCTTCCAGGTATAAACATCTGAGTGCTTTTGCCACAGAGAGAGTAGAAAGTGAAGAGGCAGGAGCAGTGAGCTGGTCTCTCACCATCCCTCCAGCAAATCTCTCACTATAGCAATGAAAATGTGTTAGTGGACAGAGCTTGGAAGTAAGGCTAGAAAAGATGGTCAAAGAGAGAAGCCATCTCCAGTGCCCATGTTGGGATTGGCAACACTTCTGGTCCACACGATTCATTTCTGCTGTCTCCAGGGGTTTCTTAAGGGTAAGCTAATCTCATTTGCATGTTAAAATAACTTTTTGTAAAGTGAGATGTAAAATGGTTTTCAATTTTTAAAAGCTTATGATATGTCCATTGTTTTCTGTAAGTTTACTTTGAGAGGTTTTTTTTTTTATTATCATTGTCATTTTTGTCTGATTCAGAAGTATATTGCAGAATTTGGGGTAAGAAAAGGGACCAGTATCCCTATAACTGGTTAGAAATGAAAGTTGACAAAAATAATCCCTGAGGTCCAAAACTAAAAATTTTCCTCTAGGTTATCCTTGGTTCATAGTCATGACCTTCTGGGAAAGCGTCAACCTACTAGGATTCAACTTAACCTAAGTACCAGCCAGCCCACAATTTTTTATCTTGGCCACAAAGTTGTAGAAAATGTCGTATCTCCCTCTCTCTCTTTTTCTTACTCTCTTCTCTTTCCTACAGCTGGCTCACATTCTTCCTCTTGCTCTTGAACATTAAAACTCCAGGCTCTCTGGGCTTGGACTGAAGTTACACCAGCAGCCTTCCTGGTAGGGAGGTAATTTGGACTTGGACTGAGCATTCTAGGGCCTCCAGCTTGCAGACAGCCTGTGGTAGAATTTAGTCTTCATAATCATGTAAGCCAGCCCCCAGTAGGTCTCCTTTCATATATCTATATCATATCTATCTACATCTATATCTATCCTACCATTTCTGTCTCTCTGGAGAGTCCTGATCAGCAGGACCAGTGAAGGAAGGATCATAGCTGCTCCCTAGCATTGCACACAGGCAATGGTGTGACTTCAGAGAAGGTGTCTACCTAGCATGGCTAGGCACAGGTCTTCCCATTCAGCAAAATTTCTCATTGTCCATAGATGAGAAGATAATTACTTGACACCGAATGAGACCTGAATATATGAACACAGGAAACACAAGAAATTTTAGTAGTGACGCATTTCATGTGTTAAAACTGCTTGTACCAATTAACTGCCACGTGGTTATCCTATATTCTAGAATCGAAAGGGGAGGGCTTTATGGATTTTTCCATAGTAATATATTAATATATAAATGCTCTTAATTGGGATTATGTTAAATAAATTATATCTGAGTTGAAAAGAATAGAAAGAAAGAATATGTTTCCAGGGATTCTGTTGACCGTGAGCATTGGTCCCATTGCCAAATCAGAAAAGGATGGTTTCTCATATATTGTCATTTAACTTTTTCTTTGTCTGTCTTCTGTCCCAAAGAGACAGTAAGCACCACAAGGGCTTGGACCTCGTTCCTTGAATTCCCCCCATGGTAGAGCACCTGCCTGCCTCTCCAACTTGGTTTGTCTTGTCACAGTGTGTGTGACCTTGCTCTTTTACATATCACCATCTTAGCACTTAGCTTCTGCCTGGTTGGAAGGCTCTGTTCTCCTTTCCCTAGACCTACTGATCACAGGTCAAATTTCTATTGACTGCTCCCTCCAGGACACCTCCCTGGTTTCTCCCACCATGCCCTCATTTTCACCTTAACCCATGTGGCACTTTGTAATTGTAGCTTTACACACTCCACAAAGAGTTTCTTGAGGGCAGAGGCATCTTTTCTGCTTCTTCAGTGCTTGCCAAATTCCTCACACTTAGTGTGTGCTGAAACATTACCCTCATTCCCAAGTTTGCTCTCACCTGTTTCAAGTGTGAGACAACTCTGCAAACTATAAAGTACTACCCAGTGATTATCTTCCTGCCCTCTGGGGGAGCAAGAGGCCTGCGCCTCTCTGAGTTTATATTCAACTTTCTTTAGGGTCTCACCCTTCCTCTTTCAGGTGTTCCGGGCTGTTCTGAGGCTTTTTTCTGTTCTGAAATTGGGTGTGAGAAGAAGGGACTTTGCCAATTCTCAAGGAAATCCCTGGGCCAGCCATACGCTATCCATGCCTTCATCCAGTGCCTGGATACAAACTCTGAAATGCATGAGATGAGCTGCCCCTATGGGTGTGAGATGGAGCCAGCTAGTCTTATCCAGCCTCCAGCCCTACAATGGAAAAGTATGAAAGAAGGCAGAGGAATTTGGGGCTGTAGGAGTTTTGGAGACAGGATTGCTCCAGAACCCAGGGAAGCACAGGAAAGAAAACTCAGGCCAGAGACTGCCTTCCATAGGGACAAGGGCTCAGGCCCTCAGTAGGAGGGATCAGTTTGCCATCCCTGGGAGCTCTTGGAGACTAATTTCCCAGCTTCACTATCTTCTTCCCAAGCTCCAGTGGGCTACCTCTCCTGCATAAAAGCCTAGGAAGGCCCTGACTCCTGCCTCCTGATCCTACCCCATGCTGCTCTTAGGGCCCTCCTCCTGGGCCCTCCTGGGCCATCCCACATGTCCTATTTTGCCAAAAGCAAGGCGCCTTTGGTCTCCTTTGTGCCCCAATGCATTCCACTGACTCCTTGACAGATTCTATGTTCCTTTTTTGAAAGACAATTTGGAGATCACCATCCTTCCCCTTAAAGACAGAGGAGAAGGAGAGATCCAGTATAGTAACAGGCATGCCTCTTGACATATGTACCCTCCTGCCCCGTGCTGCTCTCAGGGCCCTCCTCTTGGGTCCTCCTATGCCATCCCTATGTGCATTCTTATGAAAAGGGACTGTGGCTGAAGGAAAATTTGGTGAACACATAGTCCCAAGCCAGAGGCAAGTGGAGGCATGACCCAGAGCTCTCCCCACCACAGCTCCCATCACTCCCTCCAATTCACTCCTTGCCTACACCTGGCCTGTCAGGTGGACAGCCTCACATTTTCTTTTCAGCTTCCATTCCCCAACCCATGCCAGTTGCATATGTAACATCTACAAGATCCAATTCAGAAGAATTATGGACACTTGGACAGTGGCACATCAGGCCTAGGGGAGGAATTCAGACCAATCACTGGTTTAGGGAAAGAGAAAGAACATAAATTTGAGGGTCTTTTCAACGGAGCATGGGCATTAACCCAAGACTAGATGCCAGAGAGAAGGCCTGAGACATGGAACTCTATAGGGAAGGGACAAAGGGGACAGTAATACCAACCGCAAGCAGAAATCAAGAGTTCAATATCTCAGCTGTTGATCTGGCACCAAAGGCCCAGAAGTACTATCATTAGGGAGAAGACTGAGAAGGCTCCAGGCCACGTCCTGCTTACCTTCCTGCAGGACAGCTTGTGTGCGGGTCGGTTAAGTAACCAGGAGAGTGATGGAGAAGGAGCAGAAGAATCCCAGCAGGAACAGGATTACTTTTACACAGAATTTGAAGTGCTTGAAGTTCTCCCATTTAGGAGTCACAAATTCAGCAGGGTTAAAAAGGAATCTGTCATTTTTCTTATTAAAAGTGTAAGCACAGCTCCGCAGAGAGGCGGTCACTTAACTTGACTTTATTGCCAGATTGTTTTTCCTCAGGAAGCTCTTTGCATACTCACCAGAGTCCCTCTCCCCCAACCATGGAGGAGAGCCAGGAAGGATCCACTGGGGTCTGAGATGAGCCAAGGCCCAGGACTTGACTCAGGGGTCCCCAAGGAGCAGTCAGACAGGGCTGGGGCCAGGCTGCCCCTTCTTCCTTAGTTTCATTCTGTTTCTCCTGAGTTTCTTCTTTCTTGACATTTTGTGTCTTATTGGGACTCGGGCGACCCAGAGCCCCACAGCCAGGATTACCAAGAGTGAGAGGAAGAGCAAGCCCTTGGCCAGGAGGCAGAAGGCTGTTGAGGGCTTCTCAGAAGGATATTCGGGATCTGGGATGAAAGAAGGGAGGGAAAGGGGACTCAGCAGAGGGAGACGTGGAGTCAGGTTGGGGGCAGACTCCCGCCCCAGATTCCACTGAGGGGTCTCAAGTTCACAATCAGCTCATGTCCCTTTGCAAGTGCGTCTGCATATATATTCAGTGCACAGAAGCTCAGGAACCGAGATCTCGGGAGAATTCTCAACTCGAGTGAGAGAAGAGAAGAGACCTTCGGGAGTGGGGGCACTAGGAAAAGAGACAGTTGCCTCCCCAATGCAGGTGTCAAGCCTCCATGGGGGCAGTTAGGTTCTGGGTTTCATGTCTTTTCTCAGGAAGAGCTGGGAACACAGGTCTTGTGTGAGCTCAGGACCTTTCTCTGGGGTCCTGGTACCTGCACAGAAGGACCCAGCACGGGTGAGGCGAGAACTGATGCTGCTGACGGGGTTGCTGGCCCGGCAGGTGTAGGAGAGGGCACTGTCCCCAGGCCTCCAGGATGTGCTGAGGACAGGGCCTTCATGAACTGTGCCAGCATTGTCCCCCCAGGGGAGCCAGCTGTAGGTAACATCCATGCCTGCCTTCTCCACAGAGCACGTCAGGGACACATTACAGGCACGTTCTGCAGAGATCTTAAAGCTCACGGCAATTTGGGGCTCCGACAGCCTTCCTAGGTGAGGGGAAAACACGAAGACCCTGTAAACGTCAGGAATCAGTTCTACTTTCCTAAGCTCCCCACCCCTGGGGTGCTGGTGCTGCCCTCTGACAGCCCAAATAAGCAAAAAAAAAAAAACAAAACCAGCCCCTATAGCTCCTGTGGCTCCAGAGTCCCCAGGGTGCTTGCTAAGGTAGACAGAGCTGCCTTTGCCATTTTCTGCCTCCCCTTTATACCCTCTTCCCTCTCTCTTTTGTACCCTACCTCCCTCCGAACTCTATTCTGGCTCCTTGATACCCCCAAAATATTATCATCCCTCCCAGAGACATTTGTATTATAATCAGTGTCTCTTCAAGATTCAAGGTAGAGTCAATGTGACAGGCACACAGATGAAATTTGGGTTCAAATAGAGAAGATACTGATTAGCACCCCTCAAATCACTCAGGGAGATAAGAGGCTCAGGAATGGAGCTGGCGTTCATGCCCAAAATGCACAGTCTCTCTGGAGGGTCTGTGCATGAAGCCCCCTGTGGGAACAGCCTCGGTGACCAGCGCCTCCTGCGCCAGGTGCCTTCACCTGAGGCTGCAGCTCGGAGACTGGGGTTGGACAACCTAAAGGCGGCCTGCCCTCTAGTCCCAGCTCCTGAAACCACAACCACGAGTCCTGAGACACCTGCTCTATGGTGTAGGAGGCTCAAGAGAGCCAAAAAAAGCAGCACTGTGGGCCTAAACTCACGGTAAACTCGTAGATTGAAGAGCTGCAAGTCAGAGATCTGGGACGTGCTCAGGTTGACTTGTGCTTGGTAAAGCCCCGAGTCCACCCAGCTCAGATTGCTGATGTGCAAGGAGAAGCTGGGCTCCAGGAAGCTCACCCGGCCCTGGTAGTGTGGGTCAGTCACCGTGATGGCAGCAGGATGCCCCTCTCCCTGGCACCACAGTTGCAAGCCTCTTGTGGGAGGACCAGATGATGTCCGCGACCTCCTCCTCAGGTGGAATTTCCAGGGGGAGATAAATGGACTCCTGAAGGACCGCAACCACTTTCTTGAGATCCTCACCATCCCCAGAGTCCCCTTTGGCTGCAGATATGGGAAGAAAGGAAATGGAACAGCCTGGTGGTGTCTCTGGGCTGCTGAGCCCAGGAGTGGGGCTGTAGCTCAGCCTTACACAAGCAGCTGCTATGGCCCACACACTGACTCCCGTTTCCCAGCTGCCTCGTCCCTGCACCGGAGTTGAGTACTTACCAGCATTTGGCACCCATCTGTCCCTTCACCTACCCAACTTTACCTTCTCCTTTGCCATCCTGGGGCTGGTTTCCTTCCTTATCCTCAGGTGTCCTCATCTCTCCCTCCTGCCCTGAAACCATATCCTATTTCTTATTACTCCTGAAGATCTGACATATTTGTCCCCAAAGGAAGGGTCTCAGGAGCCCTGCCTAGCAGAGCAGGAGAGCAGAGAGGGAAGAAGACAGGCATGAGTGGCAATCTCACCCTCCTGGAGCAGCAGGAGAAAGAACAGGCAGGGGAGAGCCACCATGTCAGCAGCTCTGGCCCCAGGAGACTCGACTTGGTGGGCCCCAGGGCTGTGAAGAAGATCAGGTTATGAGACTCCTAGGGACAGTGCCAGCCCCAAGGAACTGAGGAGAGGGAAATGAGTCTGCCCCTAACCAGCAGCCCTCTAACTTCCTCCACCCTCGCTCAGCCCCTCCCTGTCCATCAGGGAAAGAGTTCTCTCTTGGATTCTGACAGCTACTGACTCATGTAGCTCAACCACCAAACTCAGCCCAAGTTCCCCTTCATAAATGAAGCCTTCTCAGATGCACTGGCCTCTAAATGCCCAGACCTCTGCACCTACCACACACCCTAAATTCTTAGAATACTCCCTAACCTGTCGTTGGCTCCCAGCATAGTCTGCCCCAACTTCCAGTTCCTCTGTTGCTGTGATCACTCCGTCTTATAAATATCCTGTTACCCTCAGATAGATGCCATCTTCCATTTCCTCTGCATCTCCCACCGTTGTCACCCCCATACTAAACACGTCAGCACTCAGTTGATGTCTTTAGAATGAATGACTGAATGAAGTCTTTCTATTTAAGGTAAGTTATGTTCCCATTTGAGAGACTATTCACAAGGGAGTCAATTTTTATCCTCTTTACAAAAAGCAGTTTGCATAGGAGAGTTGATCCAGGTTGTTAATATGAAAAAAAGTTAAATTATTCCAGAAGAATATGATGTTGATCAAAACTATAACAAATCAGATTCGAGAGGAGACTGCAGAGGATCAGGGTTAGGAAAAAACTTCCCAGCACTCAGAGCTTCCAGGAAGCGATGAGTCTCCTTGGGAGGTAGTTTCTCTACCTTGGTAGTCAAGCTAAGTCTGGATACTCACTTGCTTGCATTGTCTGCGGGATCTCTGATGTCTGCAGACTGGACAAACTTTAAGTTTTTTCTAATAATCATTTCTATGAGTCTGTACTGTGAACGAGGAAGTAAGAGTGGTATTTCAAGGCCAGGGTATGACGGAGGCAGACTTGAGTTTCAGTCACATGTCAACATTTCACATCTGTAGATGAGCGAATCTAGAGCTCAATTAAACATCTCTGGTGCAGCTTCTGTGGTCCACACACTGTCCTTAGTGTTGGGGAGGTAGCATTGACCAGGAATTGTATTTTTATTTATTTGTTTTTTATTTGTTAATTGTTTTTTTTGAAATATTAAGCAATAATAATGCAAAGAAAGTAACAGTCACATTGTGAAATAAGAGTATGTCTATTATAGAATGCTTTGACTCTGAGGTTCAGTATGGAGTCATCAGTTAACTTCTTCTTATATTTTTTTCCAAAGTCTCAAAAAATAGACAAATAATATTTATAAATAAAATTAAAAGATAATTTCAAAAAACAGATCATGCCAAATCTTATAGACAATAGCAAAAGAAGAAATACTTCAAAATCATTCTACTTAATCTGGATACGCCTGATATTAAAATTGGAGAAAATATATTATTATAAAGGGGAAATTACAAACATATTACACTTATAAATGAGGATTCAATATCCTAAACAACATATTAACAAGTTGAATTATATGTGTGAATTGTTTATCAGACGTATTCATAGCTCAGGAACACAGGTCAGTGACAAACTTCTATGTATAACAGCCCAAAGAAATTTTTTATATTCCAAAATGACTTTGTGTTCTGAAAGATCCCAGCCTTTCTCATCTCCTCAAAATCTTTCATAGAATTATAATTTCCATAGAAATCTGCATATGCCTTCTTTCTTGGTTCAGCCACAGCAAACTTAAAGAAAGCCGCAACCCCCCAGGGACACAGCAAGTGCCCCAACAATATGAACCCATGGGCATCTAGCTAAGAGGCCACACATCTGAGGTTTGGTCGAAGCCCTGGAAGCCATGGTAGTTGCTGTCCTTAATGGGTATCCCAACCTCAAGGGATGGAAGGATGGGAAGCCACAACCTTCCTGGCTGAGGGAGAAACAAACTATGGACCGGGACTTTTAGATAGTGACTTTGTGAAGCTCAGAGGTTAGCAATGGACACTGGACAAGTAACTCCAAGTTTAATGAATCTTACCAAATGCAAACAGGAAGGCATCTATAATAAGGAGATTTGACGAAGTGGGAGTCAGGAGGGTTGGGGCAAAGTTATCAGAGAGAGAGATGATATTTAAGTTGCGACCTCAAGCATCAGTAGCATGTGCTAAGTAAAGAGGAGAATCAAGAGAATAGTTCTCAAATTTCAATTTATGAGGATAAAGCCTCAGGCATTGGGGTTTTGGTTTTGTTTTTTTTCTGAGACAGAGTCTTACTATATCACCCTCAGTAGAGTGGTGTGGCGTCACAGCTCACAGCAACCTCAAACTCTTGGGCTTAAGCTATTCTCTTGCCTCAGCCTCCCAAGTAACTGGGACTACAGGCGCCCACCGCAACACCTGGCTGTTGTTGTTGTTGTTGTTGTTGCAGTTGTCGTTGTTATTTAGCAGGCCTGGGCTGGGCTCAAACCCGCCAGCCTTGGTGTATGTGGTCGGCACCCTATTCACTGAGCTACGGGCACCGTCTTACTCACTGAGCTACAAGTGCTGAGCCATGGGGTTTTTTTTTTTAAAGGTAGATTAGGTTTTGGTCGGAGTATGAAACTTTATACAAAAAAATTTACATAAAATTAGGTCCTACCAACCCCACTACTGGCTACATCCCCAAAGGAAATGAAATCAGTTAAGTACATCAGAGAGATAGCTGCACTCCTGTGCTCACTGCAGCCTCATTCACTCTATGGAAGTCAGGGAATCAACCCAGTGGCCATCACCAGGTGAAAGGATGAAGAAAATGTGATACCTCTGTGCATGATGGAGTACTGTTCAGCATTTAAAAAGGGGGGAATCTTGACATTCATGATGACATGGATGAACCTGGAGGACATGATATTAAGTGAAAGAAACCAGGCAGAGAAAGACAAACACTGTGTGATCTCACTCATGGGCATCAGGACAGGTTCTCCTTAATTCCCATTGTAAATCCCACAAGACCAGATCTCTCTCACACTGCCTTTGATCTCCTGACACCTGTCACACTGCCAGCTCAGAAGAGCCGAGGCAAGAGGACATCCATTCTAACATCTTGCTGTTGTAGACACGTTTCATTCCCTATAGCACAACCTGCCTTCTATTGTGCTGTCATGGACAGTTTCATGACAGGGTCTGCCCTGAAGTTTGGATCCTGGGAAGTCTCTGCTTTTTCTGCTTCCGGGCTTCCTCTGCAATAGCGTAAGGCTGTTCAACCTGAGAGTAGGTAGAGCTGGGAAGCAGGGGTGGGGCTGTGCATGCACCAGTCAATGGACCACCAAGTTATTGGGTAGATGTGGATAAATGTCCCAGCCCCCTGCCCTGTTCCCTGAGACAATGTTCTCTGCAGTCCCTCAGAGGGATTGACTCCCAGAAGCACAAAGCAGTAATCAGCTACTAACACGCCCTTTTTTGGCTTTTCTCCCTTCCCTGTCTCATTTTCCTCATTCTTTCTTCTTGGATTATATCCCAGAAAGACATTCTCCACCCAAGTTCTTGTCAAAGGGTGTGCTTTGGAGGGAGACCAAACTAAGACATTATTGTATACTAGAAAGTAATTGCACCGGGAAAATTTAGATCTCCTCTCTCTTCTGCCTAGGTTCTTAGGAGCGTATAAGCCAATGAGAAACAAGACCCTCACCCGTATCCTGATCAAACAGCTTTGGGAAAGAGGAAGAAGGGAAAAGCTGGCCTTGCTCTCATGGGGAGGCTGAAATGGGAGCAATAAACGGTCAAACCTTTGCTCAAACTCTCTCCTCAGCTTCTCTTTGGGTCTAGAAAGATAGGGACCCACACAGAGCGTTGGTCCTGGAGGAGCCATTAACAAGAAGTTCCAAGTAAGTCACCTCCCTCCCAAAGCAAAACATGTAGATACCTACATGTAATTTCTATTCTGGGGCCAGCCTGTGCACTTGATAGATGGTTTCCGTGTTCCTTTCCTTTTCTTTCTCTAGGTGTTATTGTTAAAAGAGTTGATTATTCCATGGAGACATGAAGGTGGCTGGAGAGAACTGAAAGAGTTTGCAGACTGCTGAAGTGCACCCAAAGGAGCCATTATGACATGGAGGAGAAAAGAGTGTTTCCTACAGGAAGAACCAACCTATGTGAGCGAGATCCTTGAGGTGGGCGTGAGCACAGCAGGTGGAGAGCCAAGGAAGGGAAGTGAAGAAGAGTCTAGATGAGGCTATAATGAGGGACTGGAGGCAGCTAACTAGGGCCTGGTAGACCTGTTGGAGAGTTGACAAGATCTACTGCACTCAAGAGGGTTACCTTTGACAGGGAGGGGAACCCCAGGATGGGAGACAAAGAGAAAACAGGGTAGAGGGAAAGTTTTAATACTGATTTTTTTTAAGATTGGAGAAATTTGAACTTACTTAAATTCTGAGGAGTAGAGCCAGGGGGGAGAGGGGTTGAAAGTGTAGCAAAAGACAAGGGTCAAGGCAGCGAGGTTTCTCCCCCACCCGAGAGGAGAAGATGGAGGGGGGTGAGATTCAGAGCCCAGGAAGAGAAAATGGCCTCAGGCTACTAGACAGTCCTCCACTATAATAAGAAAACATTCAGCCAGCATCGTGGTTCATGCCTATAATCCCAGCACTCTGGAGGGCTAAGCCAGGTGGATTGCCTGAGCTCATGAGTTCAATACCAGCCTGAGCAAGAGTGAGACCACTGTTTAAAAAAAAAAAAAAATAGCCAGACACTGTGGTGAGCACCGTTAGTCCCAGCTACTCAGGAGGCTGAGGGAACAGAATCACTTGAACCCAAGAGTCTGAGGTTGCTGTGAGCTATGATTCCATGGTACTTCACCAGGGGTGACAAAGTAAGACTCTATAGGAAAGAAAGAAAGAATGTAAGGAAGGAAGGAAGAGAGGGAGGAAGGGGGGGAGAAAACATTCACAGAAATAATTGTTTTTTTTTTTTTTTGAGACAGAGTGTTACTTTGTCACCCTCTATAGAGT